TTCTTCTGGAACTCCATGATGCTTTTAGTATTCTTCACCAACACCATAACTCAAAAGCATCAACTCTTCTTTGGTCTTCCTTATTCATTGCCCAGCTTTCACAAGCATATGAGGCAATTGAAAACACCACGGTTTAAATTAGGCACACCATAGTCTTGTAAGAGATATCTTTGCTTCTCAGCACTTTAAAGAGGTCTTTTGCAGTAGATCCACCCAGTGCAATACATTGTCTGATTTCTTGACTGCTGCCTCCATTGGTGTTCATTGTAGAACCACGTAATATGAAATCTTTGACAACTTCAATCTTTTCTCCACTTCTCATGATGCTGCTTATTGGTCCAGTTGCAAGGATTTTCATTTTCTTTATATTGAGGTATAAGGCATACAGCAGACTGTAGTCTTTAATCTTCATCAGTAAGTGCTTCAAGTCATTATCACTTCCAGCAAGCAAGACTGTGTCATATGCATAATGCAGGCTGTTAATGAGTCTTCCTCCAATCCTGATGCCAAAATCTTCTTTATATAGCCCAGTTTCTCAGATTATTTGCTCAGCATACAGATTGAATAAATACGGTGAAAAGACACAACCCTAACATACTCCCTTGCTGATTTTAAACCATGCAGTAGCCCCTTGTTCTGTTCAAATGACAGCCTCCTGGTCTACGTACAGGTTCCTCATGAGCACAATTAACTGTTCTGGAATTCCAATTCTTCTCAATATTATCAATAATTTGTTATGATCCACATAATTGAGTGCTTTTGTGTAGTCAATGAAACACAAGTAAACATTTTTCTGCTATTCTTTGTTTTCAGCCAAGATCCATCTGACATCAGCAATGACATCCCTTGTTCCACCTCCTCTTCTAAATCCAGGTTGCATTTCTGGACGTTCCCTGTCAATATACTGCTGCAACTATTTTTTAAGTATCTTCAGCAAGATTTTATATGCGTGCGATATTAATGACATTGATAATTTCCACATTCTCTGGGATTACTTTTCTTTGGAATGGGTATAAATAAGGATCTCTTCCAGTCAGTTGTCCAAGTAGCTACTTCCAAATTTCTTGGCATAGACAACTGAGTGCCTCCAGCATGGCATCCATTTGTTGAAACATCTCAGTGGCTATTCTGTCAATTTCTGGAACCCTGTTCTTCGCCAATTCCTTCTGTACAGCTTTGACTTCTTCCTTCAGTACTATTGGTTCTAGATCATATGTCATCTCTTGAAATATCTGAACATCAACCGATTCTTTTTGGTACAGTGACTCTGTGTATTCCTTCCATTTTCTTTTGATGTTTCCTGCATCATTCAATATTTTGCCCATAGAATCTTTCAATATTTGCAACTGGAGGCTTGAATTTTTTTCTTCAGTTCTTTCAGCTTGAGAAATGCTGAGCATGTTCTTCCCTTTTGGTTTTGTAACTCCAGGTTTTTCCATATTTAATTATAATAATTGAGTCTGTCTTCTTGAGTTACTCTTTGAAATCTTCTTTTCAGCTCTTTTATCTTGTCACTGCTTCCATTTGCTTTAGCTACTCTCTGTTCAAGTGCAAGTTCAGAGTCTCTTCTGACATCCATTTTGGTCTTTCCTTCCTTTCCTGTCTTTTTAATGATCTTTGCTTTCTTCACATATAATGTTCTTGATGTCATCACACATTTCATCTGGTTTTTGACCAGTCATTGGTGATCATTCATCAGTCATTAGTGTTCAATGCATCAAAGCTATCTGTCAGATGGCCTCCAAATTCAGATGGGATATAATCAAAGTTATATTTTGGCTCTCATGGACTTGTTTTAATTGTCTTTAGCTTCAGTTTGAACTTACATATAAGCAACTGATGGTTTGTTCCACAGTCAGCTCCTGGCTTGTTTCAGCTGAAGATACTGCACTTCTCCATTGCCTCTTTGCACAGATGTAGTTGATCTGATTCCTGTGTGTTCCATCTGGTGAAGTCCATGTTTATAGCTGCTGTTAGTGTTGTTGAAAAATGGTATTTGCAGTGAGTAGTTGGTCTTGCAAAAGTCTATCATGTGATCACCAGAGTCATTTCTATTACCCAGGCCATATTTTCCAACTACTAGTGATTCTTGTTTGTTTCCAAATTTTACATTCCAATCACCAGTAATAATACAAGAAATCTTGATTACATGTTTGGTCAACATCAGACTGCATAAGTTGGTAAAAACCTTCAATTTCCTAATCTTTGGCTTTGGTGTTTGGTGAGTAAATTTGAATAATAGTAGTAATAATTTGTCTTTATTGTAGGCATATGGATATTATCCTATCACTGATAGCACTGTACTTCAGGATAGCTCTTGAAACATTTTTTGTGACGATGACTGCCACATCATTCCTCTTCAAAGTCATTGCTGCCACAGTAGATCCTACAGTTGTCTCATTCAGAATGGCCAAAAACAGTCCATATTTCAGCTCACTAGTGCCTAGGATATTGATCTTTATGCATTCCATTTCATTTCAGACAAAACCAATTTTCCTACATTCATACTTCATAAATTCCATGTTCTGATTATTAATGGGTGTTTGCAGCTGTTTCTTCCCATTTTGAATCATGCCACATCAGCAAATGGAGGTCCTGAAAGCTTTACTCTATCCACATCATTAAGGTTGACTCTACTTTGAGGAGGCAGGCAGCTCTTCCCCAGTCATATTTTGAGTGCCTTCTGACCTGAGGGGCTCATCTTCTGGCACTGTATCAGACAATGTTTCAGGGCTATTCATAAAGTTTTCCAGTAATATATCAGACAGTGTTTCACTGCCATTCATAAAGTTTTCACTAGCCAATTCTCTCATAGCAACATACAAGCCACCACAGTACAACAAATTGACAGATGAATGGTTGGCAATTCCACTACTAGGTATGTTGTTGTTGTTATGTGCCGTCGAGTCAGACCCGACTCATAGCGACCACTCCTTGGGTTTCCGAGGCAGTATCACTACGAAAGTAGATTGTCCAACCTTCCTTCCAAGGAGGGGCTGGTAGGTTTGAACCACCAGCCTTCTAGTTAGCAGTCAAGTGCCTTAGGCACTACGCTACCAGAGCTCCTCTACTAGGTATATATCCTAGAAAATAAGAACCATGACCTGAATGAATATATGCATGTGTTTTTTGTTTGTTTGTTTGTTTTTGATATTCATCTCAGCACTATCCAAAATAGCAAAAATATGAAACCTAAATGCCCATCCATGAAGGGATGGATAAACAAACTATGGTACAGACACACAACAGAATACTATGCAACATTAAAGAAAAAGATGAATCTGTGAAACATCTCATAATGTGATTGAATTAGAGGCCATTCTGCTCAGTGAAGTCAGTCAATCATAAAAGGACATATATTTTGTGAGACCACTATTATAAAAAGTCAAGAAAAGGGTTTCACACAAAAAAAGAAATATTCCTTGATAATTACCAGGGGAAGGTAGGGAGGGAAGATAAACCACTAGTAAGTTGGTAAAGCACTGTTTTGGTTACCTAGTCCCACTCTAACAGAAAATACCACAAATGGATGGCCTTAACAAACAGGGTTTTATACTCTTACAGTTTTAGGAGGCTGGAAGTCTGAGCTCAAAGTGCAAGCTCTAGGGGCTGGGTGAAAGCCCCTCAACCTTGGGCTCCAGCTCTTCCTCTTGCTCCTAGCCCACTGAAGAAGAGGCTTCTCTTAACTCAGGCAGCTGCTGGCTGCTGAGGCTGACAAATCTAAGGTTGACAATAAAATGTACAGTCCCAAGATGATCAAACAGTATGGCATGTCACTAGTTCAAGTCCATTAACAGTTCCAAGATCAGCAGACAACATGGCAGGTTGCTGGATAAAGACTCAGCTACATGCAGGGTTCAATTGTGTCAAAAAGCTGCTAAGACTGTTCTCAAAGCTTCTTCTTATATACTGGAAGCAGATCACATCCTTGAGGCAGCTACTCAGCTGCTTCAGTAGATTTCACCATGGAGCTGATTACCAATCTCATCATGGGGAATAACTTCATCCAGCTGCCCAGCCATTCAACCAGGCCCAGCCAAGTTGACCCACAGTCACATATTACTTGGATGAAAGGAATGAAAAAATAAAATCTTATTCTGTTAATGGTTTGCACTCAACTACTACAGTTTGATGTTTTGAACCCACCCAGTGGTGCCATAGAAGAAAAGCCTAAAAATCTGCATCTACAAAGATTACAACCAAGAAAAATAAAGTGTGAGGAATGAAAGCAAAAAGGGGGAAAAAAAAAAGAAAAAATTTAAAAGCTACCAATACTGAGAAGTAAAAAATTTACAAGTTGTTTACCAAACAAAAAAACCAAACTCACTGCCCTCAAGTCAAATCCAACTCACAGAGACCCCTCTTTGGGTTTCCAAGGTGGTATCTCTATGGAAATAGATTGCTCAATCTTCCTTCTGAGGAGTGGCTGGTGAGTTTAAACTGCCTTCTGGTTAGCAGTCAAATGCTTTAGGCACTACCCACCAGAGCTCCAACCATAGTTATTATCTGGTGATTCATTTTCCTCACACTGGCACTTGGTTTAGACTGAGAAAAGAAGGAAATCAGTGCTGCACAAGGTAGAAATATTTTTTTTATTAAAGCATATAGATTCTATAAACTTTATTAATAAATTGTGAGAGTATATTAGTAAAACAAACTTATCACCAGAAAAATGTATACATAATTTTACCTGAAGAGACCTATACAAATAAATGTTTTACACAGATTTTCAATAGCTCAATGTGAACAGACAAGGGTCTCTCTTCTCACTTATGCTGAAAATGCTATGCTAAAGAATAATATGTTGGACAGAATGGGCAGGTTTTTCCTGAGCACCACTTACTTTCTGCCAAACTAAGTGCTTACACTTTGTGAGATTCAATATAATAATATGAATAGAGAAAGGAAATTAAATGCGATCTTCTTGTTCCCCGTGAGTGTTTAACTGTAGAAGTCAGTGTGACGACTGCAGGCCCTGATCATTTGAGATCCTACCAAATTCAACCAGAGAAATTCTGAAAGATGTCAGCCACCTCAACCCAGTTTCGGAAGCAGGAGAGCCCATGCTCCCGAATCTGTTTGCGCCCTTTGTCAGTGATGACCTCTCCATTTTGCTTCACAATCACGAGCCTGGGGATGGCTGTGATATTATACATCTTCTTCAGTTCACTGGGGAGAGAGAGAGCATACCAAAGGATTAGTACTTCACACATGGGTGGGCAACACAAACACACATACCAACAGAAGGGATTCTCACTTGTTCTGATGGCACAAGCAACTTACCACAAAACTGCTGTAAAGCTTTTAGAACATAGCCCACAGCCAGTTCTCCTCCTATGTTGCTAACACCATTACCACCAGTTGTTGTCAAAAGTTGATTACAATTCATGGCGACCCCATGCTAAGAGTATAGCTGTGCTCCATAGGATTTTCAGTGGCTGTTTTGGAAGTAAATCACCAGACCTCTTTTCAGAGGCACCTGTGCGTAGACTTCAACTGCCAATCATTAGGTTAGCAGCCAAGTGTGTTAATCGTTTGCACCATCTAGGTAATCCCTAAATTGGTAGTGGATTCCTTTTGTCTCTTTGCTTCTTGTTGCTACATGGTTTCTAAACCAGAGCTGTCCAAGAGAACTGTGCAATAACAAGAACATCCCACATCTGTGCTCTTCAATACAGTAGTCACAGCCCCTTATGGTTATTGAGCATTTCAAGTATGACTAGTGTGACTGAGGAAATGAATTTTTAATTTTGGCTAATACTAAGCAGCACATGTGACTAGTGACTACCACGTGGGACTGTGCAGTTCTAAACCCAATATAAACAACAAAAAAACTTATATCCTTTTCCACATTTCAAGAGGTTAAAATAATTCAGGCATATAATGGCAAAAGCTGGAATTCCATGAGTTCTAAATAAACTTTCTATTCTGCAAATTCAGTGATGTTCTGATTTAAGTATTATGAAACCTTTGCAGTTACATTTACTGGCATCTGTAAAACCATGAATGCCTTTTTATAAAATTACTTGTCTATACTTAGGGAAAGGATCATCTGCCTTCTTCCTTGTGCAATTCTCTCTGTAATTTTCACAGAGATTACTTCCCTCAAGAATGAAGATTCCCTTTCCCATTTACCACAGCCAGGCTGCAAAGGCTTCATGTGAAAAGTAATCTTATTTCCTTTATCTAGCACTCTCAGGATTGTGAACTTGAGTGAAGGAAAAGGGCATTTGAGACATTTCTATTACCAAAATCTCCTCACAATACCTCCCATCAAGGTCTTCCCAGTGCTTTCTGGCACTCAAATCAAAGACAAAGCATTAACTCCAGCAGGAAAATATGCATAGTACCCTAAGCTCAACAAAGACAGAAACAAGCATTGACAACAATAACCTGAAAGATTAGATAGAAACCTTAGTGGCAGTGGATTTATGTTAATGGAGAAGAAAAACTTAGCAAAGAAGGGTGTAATGATTGCACAATTTGAAGAAGGTAATCAATGACACGGAATTGTATATGTAGAAATTGTTGAATTGCTGTATGTTCTTTTGTATATTCTCAACAACAAAAATAATTTAGAAAAAAAAAAGTCCATGAAATAGTTCCAAAAACCAACCCAGTTCTCGGTAACAAAGAAAGTCTTAATAAATTCCAAAGGCTCAGTATTATGCAGACCACTTAATCAGACCATAATATAATTGAGTTTGTTGTTGTTGTTGTTGTTGTTATGTGCCGTCGAGTCGGACCCGACTCATAGCAACACCTCCTTGGGTTTCCGAGGCGGTAACACTACGGAAGTAGGTTGCCCAACCTTCCTTCCGAGTGGCTGGTGGGTTTAAACCACTAGCCTTCTGGTTAGCAGTCAAGTGCCTTAGGCACTACGCTACCAGAGCTTCTATAATTGAGTTTAGAAACCAATAAAATATAAATCGTTTAAAACTAAAATTCTCTTGTGTTCTATCTAAAAAAGCAATGCAGATTACAAAATATTATAAATGGAACAATATGGGATACACTACAAATCCCAAGGTAAGAAAGAACACAATTAAACATACTTAAGAAGTTACAACTTTAAACATATTTTTGCAAAACCAAAAGGACTATCTATACATAATTAATTCAAGAGGACAGGGAAAAAATGGTGGAGTACACACAGGACAATAGAAAGAAGGCAAAATAAAATTGAGAACATAAATCACTGAAATAGGAAATAAACCAACAAAAATCAGGTAAGCAATAAACCAAATCTAGTTCTCAGAAAAGATGAAAAGTAACAAATCTCTACCAAAACTGGGTGGGGTGGTGGCTGCACAACTTTGTGGGTGGGCTGGTGCCACGGAGTAGCCTCCCTCTAAAATGATGTATTTTATATTTTGTGAATTTTACCTACAAATACTATTTTTTAAAGTATCTACTAGGATTGATCAAGAAGAAAAGATGAACACAATAGTATTAGGAATCAAGCAGATCTGGCCAACACACAGGACAAATACACATTTTCAGTTCTAGTTGCTTTTGAGCCAAACTGTGCTCCATAAGATTTTCAGTGCTGTTTTTTTTTTTTTTTTTTTTTTTTTTTTTGGGAGCTCTGGTGGCATAGTGCCTAATGCATTTGACTACTAACCAGAAGGCTAGAGGTTCAAATCCACCAGCCACTCCTTGGAAAGAAGAATGGGCAATCTACTTTTGTAGAGATACTGCCTTGGAAACCCAAGGACTCGATGGCAGTGAGTTTGGTTTTGTTTGGGTTTTTTGGAAGCATATAGCCAGACCTTTTTACAAAGGCACCTCTGGGTGGTTTTGAACTGCCAATTGTTGCAGGGAGCCCTTCCCCATCACAGGTCGGCCCTATCACACTCTTGCCTTCTACTGACCAAGAATGACCAAGAGAGGCTTAGATTTTCCACACAAACAAAGTTGTTGTTAAGGGAAAGAGAAAGAGAATGTAGCTCTTAAGCAGAGACAAAGCGGGACTAAGCAATTCTAGCCTTTGTGTCTCTGAACAAAGATTTGCTGGGGTTTTTAAGGATTTTGAAACAGGTGGGGATTTTCTGAGAAGGGGTGGTAGTTTCTTAGAACGAGGTGGTACTGTGGAAATTGGGTGCATGCACAGGAGTTGCAGGGATTTGGTGGTTGCTTGGCATCATGCATCATCTTTTGGAGTGCTGGTTCATTTCCTGGTCAGGGCTTTTGTCATCTCAGGAAGGTCTGTACTGCGTATGACTGGAGACCTGGAAATTATATCTGCAAACACCTGCAAAAATCTTGAAGCACAGAGCTGGGGAAGGCTGCTGGTTACTTCTGCACCCCATGTCTCAGAATGCGGTTTGGCTTTTGGCTATAGCAGTTAGGCTTTAGGCTTGCAGCTTGTGTTTTTAATTAACCCTTTGGGTCCTGCCACCTGCCTGTCTCACAACCTCTTGGACAGTAGTCAGCACTTAACCATTTATGCCACCCTTGAACTCAAAATATTAGTAGTTGTTGTTGTTGTTATGTGCTGTTGAGTCGGACCCGACTCACAGTGACCCCTTCTTGGATTGCCGAGGCAGTAACACCATGGAAATAGATTGCCCAAACTTTCCCTCTGAGGAGTGGCTGGCGGGTTTGAACCATCAGCCTTCTGGTTAGCAGTCAAGTGCCTTAGACACTATGCTACCAGAGCTCCTGAACTCAAAATATAGCCCTCCACTAAGCGATGTAGGCACATGACAGTTGTTGCCCTCCCTGAGACACACAGCAACTAAAAGGGAAGGCCCATTCCCAAAGAGGAACACACACAGCTTCCACTCCAGCTACTCAGGAAGCCATTCCATACCAGGTCCCACTACTTACATAAGCAGAGGTGGAAGAAAAAGATACACACATTATGATATCAAAACTCTCATCTTTTTTTTTTTTTAAAAAAAAAAGAAGAAATGACTAATCACAGTCATAATAGAGACCACTCTGCTGAAATTCTGAGGAACTGCCAAACCAAAAACACACAAATAGCATATATGCAAATCCATGTAAAACTTCAGATTTAAAAGATACATCAATCCTTTCACAAATACAACATGACCACCCTAGACACAGACAGCGTTTGAATCTCAAGCACATAAATCTTCACTGGACAGCACATCCTACAGGTGATATAGCAGATTAAGAATGGTAGGGATTGAGAGAATGTACTTCTCTACTGCTTTAAAAATCCCAGACAGTACCTGAAACTTGAAATTTGAAAGGCATAAGACAAAAATAATGAGAAGAAACAACTCAACAGCTCTTTGCAGTGAAATGGCCAGAAGCCTAATTTAATCTCTTTGCCTGACGGTTTTACCAAATTGATTATTTCAGTGACTATTTTGGGCAGAATACAGGATGAAAGCATCCACCATGTTTCATAACAGGGAGCATATGATCCAATAAGGGTCAGATCAAGCAAAGCTTTGTCATCCCACAGAGTAGGGACCTAGAGGCCATAGGAATCAGTGGAGGGCTTTTGGCCAGTGTGACAGGATCAGTATCACCTGGAGACTTGTTCAAACAGATGCAGAACCTATCTCCAGTCTCTGGCTGAGTAAGTACTGGTAGAGCCTGAAAATCTGCATTTCTGAAGAGTTCCATGAAGCAGGCTTTGAGCAGCACTGGCTACAGCAGTGTTTGCAGTGTGGCATCTCCAGACCAGCAGCAGTGGCACCACCTGGGAATTCATCAGAAATGCAGATTCTTCCCACCCAACCCTGAATCAGAAATTCAGGGGGATGAGGGGGTGTTCAGGCCAGTGATCAATCAATCTTGGGGCTCCAAGATTGATCAATGTGCACTGAAGTTTCCCAGCCTGCTAGAATACCTGCAGCATTTCCTAAAGCCCCTCCACTGACAATGGAGGAGGGGAGAGGGAACAGGTGGGGAGATGAAGCTGAAGACAGCACCCCCAACAGCTTCTTCTCCCTCAGTAAGGTAGGTAGCAGAGGCCTGTGTTTTGCTGCTCAGCACCCAACACCTCCCTCAGAAACCAACCCTCATCCATTGTCTAGTGTGGCTTTGACAAGCTAGTTAATCTCCATGTAACTCAGATCTCTCATCTGCACCATGGGAAGTAACAGGATTGTTATTTCTGGGGTTGTTAGGATTAAATGATTAATAATGCACAGTTTAGCTAAAGATGAGGTTTGGCACACAGTAAG